TATATACCTTTTTATTCTTTATGTTGTAAATATTAGGCAGGATGACCCATACCAAAAAGATCATCATATTTGGGGTCCTTGGGGGGCATCAAAAAGTTGGACATTGTGGAATCCAGTTGAGAGGTGAGTTAGGCAGGCGGAGAAAGGCTGTACAATGGTTAACTGAAAGGAACCATTCTTTTATTCAGCAATTAACCCCATCTAGGTAAATAATACGGTGTTGTGGAATGGATATACATCGCTCCTACGCACAGCGCTCAGAACCCGAGAGTGCTTCAAAAAGACCCGCGATACAAAATGATGACAAGATGCACCATACACCGCCTTTCATGAAGAATATTACGTAGAGAATAGTGTGTCATTGTACAGTAGAGAGAGTAAGGAGAGGGAGAGAGAGAGAGAGAGAGAGAGAGAAAGGGATTGTGAGGTCTTGAGCTCCTGTGATAGTACAGATAACATGTCTGGATGCACTTATCGGCCCAGAAACCTGATCTTATTATTTTAAATTCTGAGACTCAGGCACTTATAAACGGACATGGAGAGAGAGAAAGAGAAAAAGGGGAGAGAAAAAAGACCTCTAAGTGTGACAGTGATTTTGTGGGGGTTGGAGACGGAGGTGGGGGGACAGGGGTGTTTGGTTGTTCTGGGAGCTTCACTGCATTGTGGTCCGTCTCTCTCTCTCTCTCTGTCTCTCTCACTCACTCATATGCTCGAAACGATATGCAGATATGTTCACCCTGTTTTCTCATGACCCAAGCCCCCCTTAGGACACACATAGACACACATCCCAGCTATCAGTCGCTGACTTAGAGGAGCTGTAATTACTGTCGATCAAGCGTTCCTTAGCTTCTTAGTGGAATGGTGGAGAATCTGATATGGCAAATGTAAGAGTCGTCGAGCGAGGGGTTGGTGGCGGAGAGGGGCCCGGGGCCCAATAAAGACCGGACCTGATCTCCCCACTGCGACAGGCTCATCAGCCTCCAGCTAAACAGCTCTGGGGGGCTTTTTTTCCCACCGGCCGTCCAACTGACCCTTCCACCTACCCCCGGCAAGGGGCAAGATCCTGAGGGTAGAAAGCAGACACACCCCCTTTTAACTTTATAATATTAATACAAATTTAATGTTTTTATAATCAATAATGTAAAGAACGTTTCCTGTTTGTTTGTTCCCTTCAAGGTGTAATGAAGTCTACATCACTGATCCAGTGTCCTCTGAAGCCCTCAACACTAACAGACGGGGAACCACTCGGGCCTGGCCTGGAGAAGGCATCTCACCTGGGGCAAGGGTCTTCTCAGTCCTTCCCAACACTAGGACACTGGGCTTTATCTCTTTTTTTCTCCACTCATCCATCACTTTTACTCATTTACTAACAAAATGAAGCTTCACTTTTATGCCCCCCATTTGCAGGTCATTATGAAGCACCTTAATTATGCAACTCTGCAACGGTAAAAAATGAATATGATTGTATTATAATTTAAGGGTGTACCAGACTTTCTTGCTCAGGCATTTAAAGATTATAAATTATATTTATAAGAGATTATTTACACAATGGAAACACAATTAACAAGATGAAAATATTGAGTTAAAGTTCTCTTAAAGAGAATTAGCTTATGTCAGTTTGAAGGTAATTTAATATTTTTAATATTTTTTAAATCTTTTTACACTTTGAATTTGAAATGTTCACATTTGGGTTCAGTAAGTTTAAACTATTTTTTTTAAACAAAATATTTCTATTTCAAATAAATGCTGTTCTTTTAATCTGTCTATTTATCAAAGAATCCTGAAAAATTAGTACCATGATTTCAACAAAAAAAAAAAAAAATTAAGCAGCACAGCCCTTTATAAGTGACAACCATCAATAAGAAATGTTTCTTGAGCACCAAATCAGACCATTCAACCATTAGAATGATTTTAAATTATTTAAAATAATCACCCATTTGCTCACTTAACTGAGATATTATAGGCTTAAAGCAAACTTACCAGCATTTATTTTCATCTTTAAAATTTTAAGACATAAAGTACAATATCTAAATTTATATGACATGTACTGCAGTTGAAATAAAAAATGCTTTTAAAAAAAATGTGTGGGGCTTTTTTCCTTTTGGGGTATATGTAAATCTATATTTGCATTTTCACAACAAACATACATCGTTTAAACTGAGAAAAGATTGTGTTATGGACCAATGTAAATGCATGAGTGATGTAAACCATTTAATAATAATTAGTTTTTTCTATGAAGAAAAATCTTTACACCAGGCCCGGACTGTTGAAGTAAACAAGTCACACGAAAATGTCAGGAGAACCGCCATGTAAATTTTCAGCTGCAAGTCTCCGCATATCTGCCTGTCAGCACACTGCAGTCCATAATTGCACATTCTGTTTATTTCCATTTTGTTGTAACAAATTCCTTAAAAACAAACATCCACGGCGGGGAAAAAATGTACAAGTACCAATGATTTGTGCAATATTTCTTCTAAATTGCAAAAGCAGCAGGCCAGCACGAGCTTTTGCAAAATTACATTTCTTCAGCGTAAGCCATAAAAATGCCAAAGCGTATAAACATCCTCTGGTGGATTTAAAAGAAATGTTTAAAAGTTCAATAATATTACACTACAATGATCTACACTGTCTGAGGCCAATGTTTGTTATTTAATCTGCGATTAGATCCAGGCGAAATGGCTCGCCTTCATAAATTCTGCACCAGTTCGCCCTTCTGTGAAGATATTATACAAAATACCTCGACTGCAATCTGCTTTAATAATTGGTTACATTTCCATCTCTGGTTTGTATCAGACCTGGCTCTCCTTGGGTTCTCAATAAAGTGCAGTTTTTTGGCCAGTGATGGCAAGTGCCCAAAGCACCTGAGCGTTTCGATTGGTGGAGATTCCATGTCCTGTAGTATAGTTTATTGTATAAACATAGAAGGCCTTCGAGAGCCAGCCATGGTCAATGGACCCAAGCGATATGCCCAATAGAGTGCCCAACAGACTGTGTCATCTATACCCCCACAATCAAAAACAAACACTCTTGTTGCTTTTCTGCCACAACTGAGATGGTGGGGAGGATGGGGTGGGGAGGATGGGGGGGGGGGGGGGTGTACGCAGCCGAGCTCGGAGGGCTGAGGTCAAGTGAAATGTGCTCTTATCCCCGGCTCTATTTATTTCTTCTACAATCTGGCTCTTAAAAGACATGAACTGTCTGACCGGGGGAAATAGGGGTTAGACGTTTTCCATTTCTTTTTGTTGCGCTCTGGGATCTGAGATGCTATTACAATTCTGCTTCTGTGAAGACCTTAATTTTGGATTTCTTGTCGGGGCTTGTTTAACGCGTTCCGAAGATGTGTTTGATGTCGACTGTGCTATTAGCGGGACTGAGATCATTGAGGATTGGTTGAGAAAGTAGAGTAGCCTACTGATAGAGTTTTGAAGGTTTTTCTGGCTCTTAATTGTCTTTTGATACGATTCATTTCCAGGCTATTGTTCACCGATCATCCTCTCATATAATCCAGCTACGTCTAATTAAGGACATGCATGTGTCTGTAAGTCAGATACTTTAAGCATTTAGTTTGTGGTCTTGTTTTTGAAGGTCATAAAGAACCATCAGCAGATCATCCTTGCTTTGAGTAATGAAACGACAGCCAATCAGTCACACCGCACTTTCAACAGGAGTCCCTACTAGTTGCCTTCGTGTTAACACGGCCCCTATTAATCATTAAAGAAACCAATTCACACCACCGCCGTAAGAAGCTCACTCATCCACATCCCATTAGAAACCACAGGCAGAGAAAACCAGCTCTCCTGTCCCACGCTTTAATGAAAGTCCAGTTTCCCTTGCCTAAAGGTAACTTGGTGAGTTGATGGTATCTGCCCGAACAATTACACTGTCACAATCAAAGGAAACAGACTTTAAATAGTCTGTCAAGTCCCATCGGGGGCTAATAACTACTCATTTCTCTCCCAGCGTGTCAGCGGGGCCCTGAATCCTCCCTTTGTTCTCTAGATCACCTGCCACTAAATAGGTAGCTTGTCCTCACACTTCAAGTGCTTAGATGTCAGAGGCGAAACCCCCATGCCCTTAGGGTGAAGAGGGCTCAGGGGTGATATCCACAGTGCCGAACTTAGTGAATCTTCTCGCTCAAATCTCCCGCTTCTCAGGTCGTTGGGTTTTCGGTTTCTTTGGGACCATTGCATAAAGATGACAAGAATATGCTACAGACATTAAGTTGAATTGTTGGGGTGTGACTAACTGAAAAAAGCTTATTTGGTCATATTTACAGTTGTTCTGCAAATTTATATAGGAATACAGTGGATCGAGAATTTTGCGTGAGAATGAAATATTTCCCCATGCACGCAGATTTTGCAACAGGTTCAAGCTGGTTACTTGAATTTGCCTTGATGACCAACGGAAAGCTGCTTTGTTTGAAAGTGAATTCTGCATGAGCTGTGGTTGAAATGACACTTCACTATTAACATTAAACAATGGACCTTTTTTGCCATTTATCTTAGCTGTTTTCAAGAAGTGTAGCTTGTACCTTTTTAATAGCGGTATAGCGTGACAAAATGCTAAATTGCAGTCTCATTCAGCCAGGAAAACCGAGACTTCAAACATGCTCTTAACTGTATCATTGGGAAGTAAATTTAGTAAATTGCAATTCATAATCTAAATCAACTGAATCAGATGTTCAAAATGAATAAAAAATATTTACTAAAATTCTGTTCCTCACTATACGCCCTCCACTACTTTTTGATGTATTAGTTGTATTAAGCATAGATAAACTGTCTTTGTTCAAGTTAATGCTAACATGCTAATTTTAATTTGGTGAGAAGATTACTTTGTGATAATTGTGAAAATAAATTATACTATATATTTCAAAACATACGTTCCCCCTTCAACAGCTTCAATGCAGTGAGCTATTAGCTTGCAGTGTAGCTTACCAAGAGTAGCTTGACAGTAGTTTAACTTAGCTTGTAGCTTAAAAGTAGCTTTCCAACACCATTCAGTTGTTTCTGTTATGATAACAGCTCTTATTTTCTCTCTGACAAGACTGTTATTTATGTCTTTCCTTATACTTTGTGTTTCTAAAGAGTCTGAGTAACTGAGTCTGTAAACAGGTGACACTGCTTGATGCTAATCTGTCTAATTTATAGCCCTATTGTGCATCCCCTCTGGAAGATATAGAGTTCAGTTTAATGCTCACAGTTCACCTTCCCAAAAGGTAAATACCTGTTTCATGTTTTAGATCAATTAACAGGCTAATAGCAAAAAGGGGAAGACACAGAAGAAAGGAGGCATCCCAGAGTATCTTTTCCCCCTCCGAGTTTAATGATTTGCCTGTAGCCTGGACATTTGGCATGCATGGAATGTTTGTCTCCACATCCAGACCCATTGTGTCGGAGGAAGAGAAAACTAGAGGAAAAGATCTACGTGCCTATCTCAGGATGGGTGTTTGTCCATTTTGAAGCTGATCAATGAATGAAAGAAGATTATTGTTTCAAAGCACCCAGAAGGTCCTGCGTGAACCCAAAGCAGCAGCTGGTTTCACTTTACCTGCTTTATCGATGCACAGAACCCCACCGTAATAGGTACAATTTCTAAAAGTTATTTTTCTTTCTGAAAATCCCTGTTTCTCTTGTGCTCTCTCTCCCATTCTGTCCCTGGGACACCCCATTCATTCATTTTTTATTAAACTTCAGCACTCCCTGTGCTCATTTCCGTTCCCAGGTCCGTTCCTGTGGTTTTAGTGGTGGAGTACAGAGGGATCGGATAGGGCTCTTCTCACAGACTGACATGGCGACTGGAACAGCTAAACCTGGAGCTGGAATCTGCACTGAAGGGGTTTTGGAGGTTGGGTAGAGGCCAAGGGCCTGAACTTTGGGCATAATTCACCTGTTATTCAAAGAAACAATTCACACATTTAATAAAAATACAAAACAGGCTTAGACAATTGCTCTGTTCCAAAAACCTAGTGAGCTCCCCAAGGAGGGAGTATTTTAAGGCATCATAAATTTGTTCCTGATGCAACCCGTCCCAAAAAGTAGCTAACTTAATTATGCGGTCTCCTAAGTTACCTAAGACAGCAGCATCATATGCACCATCCGCAGAGAGTGTGATCCCAGAGTGCACTGCAATGCACTTTGTGATAAAGTAAATCCAAAATGGTGGATGAAGTGAGAGAAATTAACTTGGCAGTCTGATTGAAATTGGAGTAAACTTGATGGGTTTTGAAACAGAGCTGACTTAAAGAAAGTCTGGTGTTCAGGTGTTTTAAAATATCAAGCAATGTACACTATTGTTCAAAGGCTTCTGGTCAGCAATGTTTTTTATTTTTTTATTGACGCATTCATTTTTATCAAAAGTGTAAAGAGTTTTATAATGTTTCAAAGCAAAGGAAAACTTTCTATTAATTAAAGAATACTAAATAGAAAAAATTGATGTTTCCACAAAAATATTAATAAGCTCAACTGTTTTCAACATTGAAACGATAAGAAATGTTTCTTGAGCAGCAAATCAGCATATAATGATTTCTGAAGGATCATGTGACACTGAAGACTGGAGAAATAGCTGTTGGAAACTCAGTTTTTCCATCACAGGAATAAATTACATAATATATTAAAATAGAATTGTAATGCGTTTTCACTATATTACTATTTTTACTGTATTTTCGAATCAAATAAATGCACCTTGGTAAGATTTTGATTGTCTTCTTTTTTTTTTTTTTTACAGCAGCTTTAAGACTTTAATAGCATTGAAACTGTATCAAACTACACAACACTTTTTGTGCTCGGTGTGAACTCACAGTGGCTAGGTGATAAATAAAATATTCACTGTATTTACAATGATTTTGCTGGTGATTTATGCATCACTGTGGACACTGCAATGATATTAATACCATTTAACTTCCCAAAGACAATGTCAAATTCTGTGGTCGATGTTTTAATAGTTTTAATAGTTTCTTTGAATTCAATTTAAGTAACAAAATGCAGTTTGATTCATTCATGAAAATCAGTTCAATCAGGGAATTGATTCAAATAAAACAGTTTGCATCATCACTCAACTGTTCTCAGAAATTCATGCTTTTATGTATTAAACTATTTGAATTCTCAAAATCAATATTTACCTTCCAACAACTTTGTTAAAAGTATGAGCATGCTATTACAAGCAATGCAGGTTGCATTGCAGTTCTTTGTTTGTTAATTTCTCATTTTCAAATTGTTTGACATCTAGAGGTAACATCATTTAATGCCTTGGCTAAGCTAATCCTCCTGTTGGCTAATTGGTTTAAATCTCTATTTACTTTTCTGTCACTTTGAGTCTTGATGTGTTATAGTGGGAGTAGGAGTAGTGAGCCCCCAGGACATACAGCGTGAAAGATTATTCATCATGTAACAACAGTAAACTTCCTTCTCGCCTGCAGATGCCAAGCTGTTCTCCTAATGAGATGCATACCAGCACTGAAGCCTGTGAGACAGATTGGGCCTCCTGCTAGTCCGTTCCACCTCGGTCAGAGACCTTCCACTGCCCTGCAGGCAATACAGCCACAGCTTCACTCTCTTCCCATCATGCTCCACTGCTGCTTACCTTGTGCACCGCCCACCTCTGCATGCTTGACATCCTCACAGGTCTGTTAACCCCATACAGACTTAGGGGAGAAGTTGAGAACAGACCAGTTCTGGAGGAATTTGTTTTAATAGTAGATTTTGGGAAGAACGGGTTCTTGTTCAAAACTGGTTCCATTTATAATGTTGATTTGATTAACCCTTAAATGCATGAATCTTTATTACATATTCGGGTCTTTAGCGATCCGAATCTCTTTCTAACACGGATGGATCTCCACCTGTCGTGATAACATAAAACTCTCCTCATATTAGAGTAACAATTACAGATGAATAAATTAAAGTATGTTTTGTTACAGTTGGAGGTGTTTTATACCATCATCGCTGTCCTCGTCACAGCTCATTTCCCCAGAACATTAAGCATCTGGCTCATGTCCGCGATCTCAACCATATTCTCAAAACTATCATTTTCAACATCTTCAATTATTTTGATCGCTGACAGCTTCTTCATCAGATCCACCATCAAGTATATATTTATATTAAATATCACATATATTTACTTGCTCTGCAGTAAATCGCGGAGCCATTTCAAGTTATGCTGATGATACTTCCTATTCTTTTGTTTTCTGCCTGCAGTAACCATGAGTGTAACGTCACTTCATTATTGTGTATCAGACATTGCCACCTTGTGGAATAAAGGAGAATTGCACTTATTCAGTCATCAAAGATTCAATTATTGCCATGCAGAAAAAAATATTCTCACACTTACACACCTCAGGTCGTTAGCGACCTTATACCATTTTTTTTTACAAAAAAATGTATGGGAAAACAGGCATTCTTTTATAATTGTATTATTTGTTTCTTGTTATATTGTTTATAATTAATTTATTGAGGAATACTAAGAAGGCTGATGGATAACTTTAAAAAATAAATAAGGAGGAGTGGGTATGTATGATGTCCCGGGTCACTAAAGACATGAGGTATGCGTTTAAGGGTAAACGGTTCTCAAACATCACTATTTCTCTTCCAATGCTGACAAAACGCTAAACATTAAGCTATAGTGCAGTCTGATTGGAGACCAGATGACTCCTATGAGCAGATTCTTTTAATTAAATTAATCAAAAAGACTCTCATAACTGACTAGTTTTATTAGTTAATAGACGTATTAGTTTAAGTCGATTAGTTTGAATCATTCTGATGAGTCACTTAAACACTGAATCATTATTTGATTGTGAGAAGTGTTATTATTAGGCTATTTAGTAATATTTTGAATTCGCTTTTATTTTCACATTTTCAAATTTCTTTTAAATTTTAGTTTTGGTAATTTTTTTATGTGTTTTTGTCACTTTTATTAGTTTTTTTTATATTTCTTCTTTCTTTTTAATTCACTTTTAATTTGAGTAATTTTAGTACTTCAGGTTAAACTTATTTAAGTTTTCTTATTTTCTAACTTAAGTTTTTCATCTAAGCTTTATTTCAATCACTAAAAGCTATTTTTAATAGTTTTAGTTAACAATAACACTGTTTGTGAGGCTTAAATCAATGTAATATGAACTGATTGTTATGACTTTAAATTTTTTATTTTTTGTTCCATATATAGATTCCACAAAAGTACTAAAGGAGTTGTTATTACAATTATTGAGGAACCAGAGTCGTTTAGTGTAATTAGAATCTGAACTAGATTTCCATCTGAATAGTCCTGTCATTCTGAAAAAGATCTTCCTGTGCTTCGAATGTACAGCATGATGAGTTGGAAACATTGGTTCAGTGTTGCACTGGTTCAGATTGTTCAAATTGTTTAATTGATTATGAAATGCCAGTTTTAGCTGTGACCCAGTTTTGTGGTTATGGGTGCATTTACAAATGCCCAGTTTTGTGGGGTATTGATTTCCACAACCTTAGTCACTAGGGAAAAACAGCTGCTGGAAATTCCAGACTGCTTGTAACTTTCTTCAGAACATGACATTTAAAAGAAAACATTCTAGAAAAGACCACATGAGAACAACCGCTAAATTCTGCCTTTGCGCGTGACCTCTCGCTGGCTCGAAAAGTGCACTCTCTGACTTTCCACTGGCCTGGTAATGATATGTCAATATCATAAGTCATGTACAGTTGTATCGCAAAGGTTGTAGCTGTGGAAATCATAGTTTATACCTATTTATTCCCATTTTGAATTAATCTCTTTGTGGCTTGTTCATGATCCACTTTACCGCTCTTGCAAAGTTGTAAAGTTCCCTCTCTTTTGTCAAGACTTAAGTCTGTCTGTTGAAGTTAAAGGTCGGATTTCATCCTTCGTTTCATTGGATTTGAAATGACAAATGCACCGAATGGCAACACTCCAGAAACGATCCTTATCCAATCGCACAAACCCCACAGTGACTGTCTGTTCCGATGGATTTCGACTTTATTTTCTTTGAAGACTTAACCCAAACACAAGCTTTCATTTATTTTCCTTCCCGAGGAGTGTACACTTTGGGATATTGTCTGGCTTGGTGATTGTTTTGAGAGGAGTTTCATTGTGTGAAATCTTTCCTTTGCCTAAAACAACAGAATGTGGGAAAAGGTGGGGGGGGGGGTTTGCCCACTCTTGCCTTTCTTGATTTCCATCCAAGTTTGCTGCAGTTAATGTGGTTACAGGCAGGGCCTGGCCAGTTTTCTCTCCCACTGAGCTCTATCGAACTGTGCATTATTTTTGCACAGTTACGGATGCAACTGTGCATTATTTTAGTGCATTTCCCACTCCAATTTCATATGTCACAGTATCAGGGGGTGGACTCAGAATGAATGATATTTGCAGGTATGAACTATATTTTCTCACCATGGAGCAGCAGTTTATATACGCATCCCACAAGGGTTACGTTCCCTTAAAAATAATTGTTTTCTAAAATCATTTGTTTTAGTAATGCACATGATAACGTTGCACAATTTAGAGTAAATTACATTGCACAAGTTGTCCGTACATTGTTTTGATATTGCAAGATTTTAGGTTGACAAGGTGAAATGTGATGATTGCACAGAAGCTTCTACTTTGTAATTGTGCTGCTTGAATTTTAAAGGGGTCATGACATGCTTTTTTATTATTTTAATATGATCCTTGAGGTTCAATTCAATAAAAAAAAAAAAAAAAAAAAAAAAATATATATATATATATATATATAGATATGGAGAAAAACTATTATTTTCAATCTTCATTCTGACCCTCTGTCTGAAACGATCTGTTTTTAAGGGGCGGCTCCTTTAAAGGTGCTCTATGTAACTTTTCTTTTAAAATGAATCCTTTTTTTATTGCCTGTGTGTGAAGGGGTTGTAATCACACATTACAATGATCCACTTGTCGGGTTTTGCTATTACCTCTGAAGGCCAGTATTCCTATTTCTATGTGAAGTCTCCGGGTCAGATTTTCTGCGAAATCCATCGGATGTGACGTGCATGCGCGCTCCCGAGCCTCTCTCCTTTTTATATACAGTCTATGCGACGGCACTGCAGCTGACGACATGGAGTCTGATAACACCCAAAAACGACCTGCCTCCACAACACACACTCCAACACAAACTCCACATAAATATATAAAAAAAAAAAAAAAAAAAAAAATGTATCTGCTGAAGCTCGTCAGGCCAAACGTGAATCGGATCGACATAGGACGAAAACACGGATCAACATCGGCAGAGCGTTTGAATTATGGAGAGACTATTATTATTGTGATAAATTACAAGTTTTCAGATATGCTGAAATAAATAATGGTAATGAAATAGCAAGGTAAACTACATACATGAGACATGAAATAAATACAACAGACTGTTCCAGGATAACAAAAAGTAGGTGCTTTAGGATGTAACTTTTATTTTATGTAGGCTACTGTCTAACGTCACTCATCCCACTACTATCATATTGTTTATAATACACATTTCCAGACACGTTCAGAACAGTAATGTTACTTCCTACGATCTTACTGTTACACTGAAATTGTTCAGTCTAGTTCACTAACCGTTTTCGTTATCATATTATACATTAATCTATGTTGACATTGCTGATTGTGAAAGATACACGAATAGTTAGTGAAATGCCTTGTTATGCTAGATAACACCACATGTCGGCTAAATGCAGTCAATGTAATGTTATCATGGTACGAGCATTTACATTTACATTTAGTCATTTAGCTGACGCTTTTATCCAAAGCGACTTACAATTGCTATATATGTCAGAGGTCGCACGCCTCTGGAGCAACTAGGGGTTAAGTGTCTTGCTCAGGGACACACTGGTGTCTCACAGTGGATTCAAACCCGGGTCTCTCACACCAAAGGCATGTGTCTTATCCACTGCGCCATCACCACCCCCCATCCACGAGCATGGAGTATTAGTTCAACGTCAAGCTGATAAAAGTAGCCTATTATTGTAACGTTGCAGTGGGAGTTTACATGAGTTTCCAGCATGTTGTGTGATGCTTTCTCCAGTGTGTTGAAAGTCTCAGTGTGGCCGGTACCATGAGTGCTCGCTCTTGTGTTCGAGCATGCGCAAGAGCACGAGCGCTCTTGTAAAAATTGGTTGCAATCTGAAACATCACCAATAGAGGCCGCTAAAAAACACATATAGCACCTTTAAGGCTTGTCAGTAAACAGCCACTGTTATGATTGGCTGACGTCATTACACAGGAAACTGTTTCAAGGCCGACTCAGTATTGTGAGCAAGTGTTTTGAAAACATTATCCATATAAAACTGCTTCATCTTTCAACAAAAGTTTCTTTAAAGAGACTCTTTATTACACTGTGACTCGATAATAAAACAAATGCTCCGAACAAACATATAATCCTCTGACGCCATTAAAATAAACCATCCACTTGATTCCGATGCTGGGATCCTTCTGATGTCTGTACTGAGACGCAAACGACCTGTTTAAACTGGATGAGCAAAGCGATCGTTCACTCTTCCATTTGTCCTGTTGTTGAAACTCAAGTGCGTGTATGTGTCAGAAACTGAACACGCATCTGTATACAGTAGCAGTGTAGACAGCATTAGTGATTATAATATTTTCTATTTGCTTTTGACGCAACGTTCACATCTGGTGCAGGCA